ACCGCACTCTAGCATTGGTTTAAGGATAGAAGAGAAGAGACGAGTGGCAACCTCTTCAGACCATGTGCCGAAGCTACGTTTGAGCACCCAAAGCATGAGCAGTCCGTTACGATATAGCCTGTTCGTGTTGTCCACGGACTTCAAATCGTAGCGCGAGAGGACACCTAGGTCCTTCACGGAGGGCGTGGGTTATAGCGGTTGGCCGTCAAGGGTGTAGATTCGGCCGTCAGCACCCTTCCCCAGGCTTATAAATACAAACTTGGCTGGGTTGACTGGGAGGTGAATTTTTGCAGACCATGTGGATAGGCGGTTGAGGTACTGCTGAAGTAGGCCAGAGTCGTCGGGAGCGTCAATTACTCTTTAAATCTTCATGTCATCCGCAAACAAAGGCACACGGCGACCGAAGAAGCTGAGGTATATCGTTGATGTGGATCAGGAACAGAGTGGGTCCCAACACAGTACATTGAGACACGCCACTTGTGGAGGGATACCAGTGAGTTACATGGTCGTCGACCTGTACCCTCCACTTTCGTTCAACAACAAAGTCGCAGATCCACCGGTGCAGTGAGCCACCGACACCACACATCCTGATTTTGTGAAGGAGAACATCATGGCTAACCTTGTCGAAGGCTTTACTAAAATCGATGATTAACATGTCGACAGACTCCCCTTTGCTTATTGCCTTCAAGCACACATGCCTCCTCACAAGCAAGCTTGTAATGCATGAGTGGCCTTGCATAAAATTGTGCTGTGCGGGCATCAGCATCTCTTTTGACTGAAACGACTGTAGCAATCCGTCCTTCACGATTTTCTCAGCAATGTTTGCCAAAATAGGTGTAAGAGAGAAAGTTGTCTACTTTGCTAGGGTCGCCACCTTTCGGAATAAGCTTCACAACTGAACATTTCCAGACAATTGGCAACGAACCTACGAACCGCGACTTGTTGAAAATGTCAGTCACGACAGAAGAGATGATGGTCGAAAGTGAATTGAGAATCAGAGGGTGAAGCCCATCAAGTCCGACAAGTTTGGTGGCGTCAAGGTTGGCGAGTAGTTGACATACTTCTTCAACGCCGCACTTCAGACTGTAGAATTTAGTAAAAGCGGTAGACGTCGAACTCAGAACAGACACCTGGTCATTTGAAACTACAGAAGCGAAGTGCGCCGCCAACGCGGACGCGCGCGCAGTGCTGGAGGTTAGGGACTCTCTATACGGGCCATCTAGCACTGTCACATCACCTGCCGGTTTCAGGCGTCGCTTCACGTAAGCAAAGATTCTCTTTGGGGCGGTCTTCGCGGCGATTACGAGCTGCTCTTCGAAATGTCGGCGCTTATTCCTTTTTGTACTGTTGCAGAGGTTCCACTGACTTTTATACCCTTTGTTATCATTGGCAAAGCCAGAGAGGAGGAATTTGTCCCACAGTCTGCGCCGCCTCCGAGCCAGATTTCCATACTCCTTGTCAAACCAATGAGGCTTAATCGGTCCAACCTTCCGACATTTCAAGAGCACAAATTGGGAACACAATGATGTCAATCTCTCTTTTATAAATATCCAACAGTGTTCCACAGACTCGGTTTGTGACAGAGACCAATCCAGTTGGCTCGCGGCTCGAGCTAGACCACGGAAGTCAATTTTCCAGTAGTTGTAAGCTGATTCCAACGAACGTGAATACGGTAAAGGCAATTCCATATAAGCTATGAGCACTGAGTGGTCGCTTGTAACCAGTGACTCCAGAATCCGAACGTCATGCACTCGTTTTGTAGTTCGTTAGCAGCAGGTCGAGACAGGACGGGGTTGAGCGTGTTGTTATGCGCGTTGGCTGGCATATGTGTTGCGATGCTCGTCAGTTGCAGGAGAAGTGAAGAGAACGACCCAGTCATTGTACCCGTTTGTTGTTGGTTTGATACCGTGGACCGTGAGGTATTGTGACTGGTGTTGAGTAAGATTGGTTGTCTGAGTAAGTTGGTAAGTTTAAGTGAATGCCTGCACAGTGGTATGAGGGCAAGGGTGCAGCTGAGTGGAGAGACCATGGATGACTTTGCAGTTGTCACTGGTGTGAAGCAAGGCTGTGTCTTAGCTCTAGCCCATTTTAATATTTATCTTCATGTAATAATGTCTTGTGCATTTGATGCGGCTTGTACTTATGATGTTCGTGTGGAGCATCGTATTGATGATGGGTTGCTGAACATCCGTATGCTGCCGTTTGGTAAGGATAGTGCGTTGTTTGCAGACAGCGCAGATGAATTCCGGTACAGGACTAGTGCTCTGCCTTCGACAGTGGACAAATTCGGACTCACTATCAACATAAGCAAAACTGTCTGTCTCTTTCAGCCTTCACCTTAGGTGCAATCTTCAATATTGCCGCGAATCAGCATTGGTGCTGAAATATTAGAAACCACCTCCCGCTTCTGCTACCTTGGGAGTGTGATGTCGACTGACCAGCAGCTACACAGTGAGCTTCGTATCCGCGTCTCTAAGGCAGCGGCGGCATTCGGGAAGCTAGAGTACCGAGTGTGAAACAACCATCAGCTTACCGTTGGCACGAAGCTGATGGTGTACAAATCCATGGTGCTGTCCGTTCTTCTATACAACAGTGAAACGTGGACGATGTACTGACGGGATGTGCGATATCTCGAGCGGTTCCATCAACAGTGTTTGGAACGGATTTTGCGCACTGGTTTCTGCGACAGAGTTGCTGACACGGAAGTGTTGCGCCGAAGTGGAATGTATGCAGTGGACTGCATGCTTTTGCTCACACCTGAGGTGCCTCGGTCATGTGTGGCGTATGCATTCGACGGGGATACCGAAACAACTATTATATGGTCAGCTAGTATTGGGAAGCGGCATACGGGGATACCGAAGCTTCGTTACCAGGACATGATCAAAGTGAGCCTCTCGCGTTCTACAGGTCATGGAAATCAAAGGCGATTGATCGGCGTGCATGACGCGATCTGATCACGAAGGCAGTTGCCGAAGTGCGGGAGAAAGACCTTATGCATGCAGAGAAGAAGCGGAAAGCGCCGATGGGTTGTACTCTATCTACATCGGGTATATTGTACTGTAGCGCATGCGGTCGCGGGCGAATGAATCAGGCAGGCCTAGTGAGCCATGAGCGAGACCACTCGGGGCCAACACCGAAACGACGAGGGGTCTTGCAGAGAACGTAAGCAGAACTGGCGTAGCGTTTGTAGGTACATTGCATTCGGTTTACTAACCGTTTGCTTGCACGCTGGGTCTTTAGGCTCGAAGTGTGGTTCCATGCACTCAGTGTGGAGCGGACTGCGGTCGGTACAGCCACAGCCTTGTGTGAGATTGTTTCACAGATACAGCGTGCTTGTGGTTGCCTGTGAAGGAGTGTGGACGGACTTCAACCCGGCTTGACCGGATTCTGAAGCTGCGTCATCTCCGGACAAGCGCAGTGTGAAAGCACCGCCAGTGTTGCGAGTGGGAAATCGTGGGGTAAGCACGAAGTTTCAAATAAGCAGCAGATATTGATCGATAGGGTCTCTAGTGTTCGGGTAAGTGATGGCTGTTTGCTAAGGTGCAACGCACGCTGAGACATGCCAATCACAGGGGGGATCGAGGGATTCAAACAGAAATGGATGAACTGCCGTCGACCCCCTGAAAGAAAATTCACTTGTCCACTGGAGTGGAGTTATGCACTGCGGTTGTGTGAGTGGAAAATAGAAGACAAACGCCTATTGAAGCAAGATGGAAGGGGGAAGAATGGCGAAGTTGATAAGAGAGGGGATACTTCGCTGCCGCGCAACCACCACCAGTCGCGCGCAAGTTAAAATATTGCGACGGTCGCCCGGTCCCCTATGCAGGCTCGAATCTGCGCTCTCCGATTACAAGACACGCATTTGATCTTTAAGGCTATAGCAAATGAAAGTGAAAAGGAGGAGGAGGATGTAAAAGTATAAAGGGGGATGAGAAGACGTGGTGGCATGAGCAGTAGCATCCTAATCCCTGTACAACTTAGTTGAGGCACCAGATAGAGCGCCGTTAGTTACCCTCTGGGACGGCCGGAGCATCAAGGAATTGTGTGGAGAGAAATGCATTGTATTGCATGAGCAAGATAATGTTAGCTTGCCCAGGCCTAGACAGGAGAACGAGTAGGGTTCTCATCAAAATCTAAACGCAAAGCAGCGGGGTTTTGGGACCAGGTTACAGAGAGTCCGTTTTACGGAATAAATAGCCACCCTCACTCCAGCTCTCAACATGTAAGTCCAGGAGACTGCGTTTTATCCGACCTCTAAGCACTGACCAAACTGGTATCGGTGGCTTAGAAGGTGCGAAAAGCAGTACCTAGGTTAGCTCAATGGATCGTCAAGGCAGGTAAACTATCGCATTACATTTAGTCTCGTCATTCCGATTTCTAAATGCTTATGCAAATGACGTTTACACTACAACCGGATAATTCTCCCTGCTGATGTGGTCAGCTTATTTGGTCACGGCGTCACGCGCCCCATATAATCTCCCGCCACGACCGATCTCTATGGACCTAGGTCCACACGCCGACCCGATGTTTGAGAGCGTTGAAAAGCATTTGACCACCCGAAGGATTATCCCCATCCCATGCACCCAATTTCAGTAAACCTCGAGGTGCTTGACTTATTCCTGTTCTACTAATCCCTCTTTACATTTACCTTCGCCGGGCTATTTCGAGACTGGTATGCTCGGTGAGTCGGCGTAGCAACGTCTGCTTCTACCCGTTTCATCGGTGCACGCACCATTGTAGCACCCACGAATTTACTCCGCCAAGTTCCACAACAGTACTGGGAGCTAAAGCCTTAATAGAATGTAGAACCACGAGAACGCCTAATTGGGAACACTTAGTGGCATTCCTGAAATGCGCACCATGGAACTCAACTCTTCCGAATGCAGTTTCCCGTTCTATTGCCTTCATCAACATACAGGGGTAATCTATAAGTAGAATAATAATTGGCAAAGGATGAAGTTATATGTATAATGATGTATGTGTCCACTGGTGAGCAATACCTTGATGAGAAACGGAAGGTGACGTCACTGTCCCAATCGCATGTAGACAACGTCCGTCAGAAGAGTTCACAGAGGCGTCTTGTTCAATTTTCGACAAGTGATCGGAAGTGCATTGCAACTTGGAATCTAATTTGTCATTCTCCTGAACACCCGGGAGGGCACTGATCATTTCCCCGTTTGAAGTTATTGCTGAAGAATATGCAACTGTGGACTCGGGCTTCGGTCTCAGAATACAAAGAGTCGAAGGTTGACTCATCCGTGAGCTCTGCAGCGTCATCCTGACAAATGAAAACCACATAACACGAGTAACCCAAGTACTCAAAAGCAACGTAATTTGTTTTCTGACGCATGTGACCACAAGCTCGTACACAATTCAGGAACGAAACGTATAAACCAAAAGAGTGTAAATGCAAGACGTCTTACAAACTAGAACGGAGAATGAGCGTTTCAGATTGATAAGGTTAACCAGAAACCTTTATCAGGCTATTAGTATGTGTCTAAGATATTCGAACACATGGTCAAAGAGCTTATGGCTCGGCAAAGGTGAAGTAAACTTAACAACAGCAGCAAAAAAGCACCTTGTGCGTAAGCACAAGCCTCCGCTTTCGGTAAAGTGAATCAGTCGACAGGCAAATAATGGTTTACTTATTTAACTATCCAATATTTCTCCCATCGACTTCTTCGGAATGCCCGTAGCTTAGAGGGGAAGGACAACCCACGATTAACTAGCGCCTACTAGATCTGTGCCATGATAAACGGCGATAGCAAAACCAACAACAGGACAGAAGTACGCAGCCCTGCCAAACCGCTATCACACAATCCGTATACTTAACGGTGGTGGGCAGGTAAATGAGGAAGTGGGAGAGGATTAAGTGAGAGCTTTGATAACTTCAGTAAACATTTAAAACCAAGGTATCTACACTCTGCCAAGGCTATTCGATCACAAAAAGTTACCTAAGGCATGAAGAGCGGCGGTAAGGAGATAGTCTTCGTTTGACTTTAAATGTGTCGCGTCACAATCAAAACAACTCCACATTCACGTTCGCATGCTGAAGTAGCCGATACCGCCGGATGACGCAAAGGTGGTAAGCGTACTGCTGATGAGAGCAAATGATGGTACGTCGGGTGGGACTAAGGGACAGAGTTGTGGAAATGTCTCATCAAGTCTAGTTATCATATATAAACATCTGCTGTCAACGCTGTTACATCTGCTCCTTTGTGTGGGATTCCGGATAAGCCGATTTCAATTCCTACAAAAGTATTGGAAAAATAGCTACCAACTATACGGGGACATTCAGCGTAAAAGGGATGGATTTTCGAGGTCAACTCGGAAACGTCTATATCTCAAAATGCAGTTCAGTTCCGCCAGTCAATAAGAAGGAGTTACGCATGTCATAGAGGGATCACAGAGTTGTAGAGAATAGCAGAAGAGTCATATCAGCCCGAACATTTCACGCTTGTTGGCTAAATAATGCATAGTGTTGTTAGATTGTGTTCTCGTAGGAAATGTTACAGTGTTACCCAAACAACGAAATTTAGCCGTGCTGAGCCTAGTGTTGTCCAACCGTCGACTTGGTGGATCATGTGCGGTACTGCATTACCGCCAACTAAATGAGCAATTAGAGGCGCAATTGGTCCTAACTGCAGGACCGAACACTTGACAAGACCTATCAGTAGCTGCCACAAACCCGATCACTCCCAAAGTTTGTCAAGAAACACCTGCAAAGCCAAGGGATCATCAGAATCGCTTACTGCGCTCAAGGACTTTAAATCATCCACAAGCGGAGGGGATGGTACCTTGAGTTCTTCATGGAGGTCGTTAACATATGAAGCGAACAGCATAGAACCGTTCGAAATGATTTGGAATATTGGTAGCTCGGGAGGCTTGCTCAGTTGTTGTGGAGTTCTTCGAGCTGGGCAACTTGCCCAGCTCGGAGAACTCCACAACAACTGAGCATAGAACCGTGAACCGAATTCTATGGGACATCAATCCATATAGCTTGTCGGAAAGAGAGCCCAGAGTACACGCGAACGATTTTCTCCCTTGCATTTAGGAACACTGAAATCCGCGTCAAAACATGGCAGGAAACAACGCAAAATTTCAGCTTAAAAGTAGACGACAGTGTGGGAGGATATCAAATGCTTTGGAAAGATCAATAAACGAAACGTCTACCGCCTGTCCTAAATCTACAGCCTCACCTCAGCATTCGCAGGCCACCAACAAGTTAGTCAAACAAAAACAACATCTGCGGAACACATATTGAGAACGATAAATCAAGCTGAATTAATCAAGTGCTTTCCGAGGGCATTTCTTGCTAGCTATCCAGTAAAATTAACCAAGACACTTGTTAGGTCATGAGTATGTAGTTCTCATCCTTATCACCCTATTTTGAAACCAGGGCATACGACAGCCTCTCCAGTCCGCATGTAGAGATCGCTCAAATATAAAAGCGACTAATTTATACAGCACATCGACCAGCTAGTATAAACGCTTGGGTTAGTTGGCGTCCATCCCGGCAGCTTTGGTGGGATTTAGTTCACACAGTAGCATGAGAATCTGAGCCTCCGAAATGGAATGATCTCTCCGGAAGGAGTTCACTGGAATCTTTGCTCCCATGTCAATATTTGGTAACGGAGACTTGCGAACAAACACCCAATTCCCAGACCTAAAATACTGTTCCGCAATTAAATAGGCTTTGCCCCGATCCGTTGATGCTGCAGTGCCATGAAGCGCAAATAGCACGGGGACTTACGAGTTTGCATTGCACCGCCGTATAATTTAAAGAATGTTTCTGGTTAGCTGGGCATCAAAGATTTAGGCTGGAGATCAAGGCGAAATTCTTTGCGAATCGTGTAGTTAATAGCTAAAATAAGCTACCTCCAGCATTAATAGAATGGAGCACCGTAGAGGTCGTTAAAAAAGGCATAGATAGGCGTCGGTCTGGACTATTTTCCGGATTTATTGTACTTTTATTGCATCATGTCGCTGTAACCTCATACTGTATGATAGTACAGAGAATGCTTCTGATTTTCTCCAACCTTTTGCAGAAGTCGCGGAAGGTAATCAGACGTCGAAGTACCGAGGGCTCTTGTTTGCTTACCGGTGCAAAAAACAGGACGCCCGTTCAGCGGAAGCCTGTCGTCCTTAGAACCTGACCAAAGGAGCTGAGACGGTGTACGATCACCAGGCTCGACGCCAGAAAGTAGCTGCTGGAGATGTGCATCGTCGGATACAGTAGTGCGTTTAAAGATATCTGCTTTAAACTTGTCACAAGGTACAGCAGTCTGCATAGGGTCGAGGATATCGAGGAATTTTGAAGCGATGTGTGAAGACAGACGAGGAGTAACATACGAAAACATTATAGACTGCGATGTGATCTTAAGAAAGAAGAAGACAGATTCAATGTGAATGAAGAGAACACGGATTTGACACGTCGAAGGAAGGCAAAAAAGTGCAACGGAATGTTCAGACAACTGTTCACAAAAAGCCTGATCAAACATGATGAAGAAAAAATTAACGTATTCCAAAAAATTAGGAAGTCACCAAGTAATGTAGTGGACCATTATGTAAAAGTTCGAGTCCTGAGGCTAACTAGGACTTTAGGCAACACTCAGTTAAAGAACAAGCAGACACAAATGCGTTACAGTCTTTCGTTAAGTTAACTTAAGTTCGATGCCGATGATGTTGGTTCGTAGCTATCCATCCGCCCGCTGGAAAAACGTGGCGGCAATACAAGCACAAACAACAGCAAACCAAACCAGCACGAAGCGAGCGCACTGAATATGTGTATTGAAAATTCGTGAATTTAATCAAACGATACAAAATGGTTGGTAACGAAAGTGGCAAAAAGAAAGATAAAATATAGTATTTACAACCGCTACAGGGTATTCGTCATTCTATTGACCAGCAGTGCAACTGGTCTAGCGTTGTTTGCAGTCAGTCAGCATTTTCAAGCTTGGAGACCTCCAGCCACAGCTTTAGATCATCGGCATATATTGGGTAATCAGTTTGGAGCTCGGATGGAAGATCATTTATGAAAGTTTTAAAGAACTCAGGACCAAGGACAGAGACATGCGGGACCCCACTGGACCTTAACGTGGTGCGACGGCTTGCGTACCTCGCTGACCTAGCTATACTGGGTGTTGCCTCTAGGCAGCTTGAGAGCTACTCCTATCAGGTTGGTCCATGGTGAGAGGTCAGACAAACTCAGTCTCCTGGTCCTCCAGCTTGGGGGTTTGAAATCGGATGGCGGCCATTTCTGTAAAACTAAATCACTGCCACCTCCCCGCTGCCTTGTGGACAGGTTTTGAGCCAAAGGCTTAGGATGAGGACCCTAATCGTCCTCCTGTCTAGGTCTGAGTGCCGTGTCCGTATCCTAGCCCACAAACAACCGAAACTTTCTCTTCCGACGCAAATTTTATCCTGCATCGGACGTCACGAAGAGTATCAAGGGTAGCCTTATCTGCTGCATACAGCAGGGAGGATAAGCGAAAACATGCTGCTGCTGGCGTCTCCCTTCTTTCCACCTGTTTCTCCTACTCCCTTCCCGACCCCCATTACTAACCTTCCTTCTATAACTCCCAGCTTAATTGACAGTAACCGAAGTGCCACTGGAGTAGAACCATCCGCAGCCACCTTCCCGCGACACGCACCGGACGCCTATCAGCAACAGTCCCTTGTAAGACCACACTGTCCCGTTTCCATGACGACGTTCAGCGTTCGCAGTCTAGAAGAAATATGTCAACGGCCTGCACTCGTACGCACCTTGGACGCACTGGGTATTGATGTGTGTTGTGTGTCTGAAACTAGGATTATTGACCGTAATGGGGTTGTTGAACTAACTGCACCCGGCTTATCCTCTCGTTATTGGTTGTACGCATCAGGAGACCCCGATGCAGCACCCACAGGTCAAGCTGGTGTAGGTAACATTCTAAGCTACAAGGCTGATCCATCGTTGATTGATTGGATTCCGGTGAACAGCCGTTTTTGTGCAGCCCGTTTGACGACATCAGTTAAAGTTGATTCA